ACCTGCCCCCTCCTCTGCAGGCAGATCAATCTATGCTCATCAGTGAAGACTCAGCAGAAGGGTCACTCCTTTCTGGAAGCCTCCTGGAGCTGAATCACACCTGCAGACCTGTCTCTCTTGTTCACCAAGGAGGCGCCAATAAATATTTACAGAATGAAGGTACAAGTCTCCTCGTCCAAAGGAGATCAGAGTTTGGCGATTCAGCAGTGAACAAGGCTGACGGATCTGGGGCCGTGATTAAGCAGTGACCCTGGAGTTGAGTCTTAACCCTCGAGCAGGAAATCATCTGCTGGGCCGGGGCTGGGGGAGGGCAGGTTGGGGTCATGCGATGAGCTGTGGGAACAGCATGTGCACAAGCAGAGAGCTTGGCACAGCCTCGGGGCTGACGGCTGGCGGGCTCCATCCTGAGATTCATCTTCCTGGCAGACTTTCCTAAACACAGGCAAAGGCAGTTGGGGCGGGATGACACATCAGACGTAAACCACATTCTCTTTCTGTCTCTCCTGTGAGTTGAAGTCGGTGGCAGCATCACCCAGGCGATAGCCATCGGGGGAGACCCCTTGCTAGAATGAGAACACGCGGGTCAGCTAATGCCTGAGGTGTCCACAGAGCCTTGGCTTGGGGTGGAGGGGTGATCGCAGAGCTGAAGCTAAAAGTTTCCCTCACTTTCAGAAAGCTGGATTTCAAGTCTGAGTTCCACTTCAAGCCAGCCTCACAACCTCGCTAATACCAGGTAACGTCTCCTGGGTTCAGTTTGTTTTCCAGAAAATGGGATGGAAAACAGCAAGAGTTCAAGTGCATAGGAAAGCTGGGGCAGTGCTGCAGGGATTTGACTTCAGGTTGGGTCTCACCATTGACCCTGGAGCTTGAAATCTTTGTTAGTCCCCTCCCCACCTCTCTGGTATGTTCTCCCGGGATCCTGGCCCTGTTATCTTATTTGTGGTCTCCCAGGCTAGGTTTTGCAACTGAGGCCAGGAAGACAACATCTCCCAGAGAGCATTTCTGTGGAATTGTATAGCTGTCCATGTGGGTGTTTCATGCAGTTGATCAGAGGCCGGGTCAGCAAATTGAGAAGGGCTTCTCCAAATTGAGAAGACCCTATCTCCAAATACAGTCATGGTCTGAGGTCCTGGGGGTTGGGACTTCTGACATAGGAATTTGCAGGGGACACAACTCAGTCCATCAGCCCGTGCTTTTCTTCTTGCGTGCCAGCCCGTGCACCTGAGATGCCGGCCCTGTTACTGTTATGATTCTGCTTAAATCTTCAGTGTTCTCCAGGAGCCCAGACTTGGCAGAAGCCATCCAGATCCCAACCTGGCCCCTCCCCAGTGTGGGCCCCCTGGACCCCTAGCCAGGCCAGACCACTTCCAGACCCAACAGTGCCACCCAGCGTGATGCTGTGGATGGCAGGACCTGAGACAAGTTGGCATCTCCAGGCCAGCGACTGTCTCAGGGTGGAGAAGCCACTCAGAGAAATGCCTCTTTTCACTTGTGTTTCTTCTCATGGGACATTTTGACTAAACTCTATGGTTCTCCCAACTCTAAAGTTCCACCCAAAGCTTTATCAATTCTCTCTGGAACCTTGGAAGGAAGGGCCAGTCTGCAGGCTGTGGACTAAGCAAGTCCCTTTAACATTCAGAGTGAAGGTGCCCCACTGAGTCTGTTGGAATGAGGTTGCCCTTGTTCAGGAGAACATGCCTGGAGGATGCCCTTGGGATCAGCTGTGGTTTCACTGTCCTTTCTTGCTTTGGCATTTTGCTTTGTTTTATTGATTAATTTTTTTGTACTTTCTTTTTTTTTAATTTTGTTTTTTATTGAGTGCAGTTGATTTATAATGTTAGTTTCAGGTATAAAGCAAAGTGGATCAGTTATGCATATACATGCATATACACATTTTTTTCAGATTCTTTTCCATTACATGTTATTACAAGAAACTGAATATAGTTCCCTGTGCTATACTTACTCATTAATATTTAAGAAAATTTAAAAAAGACAAGTCCAAAGGATGGTATGCACTCACCACCAAGGTCTGGCCCCTGGGGATGCCCTCCTGTGGTTACCATGCCAACTCAGCCCACCCACCTAATGTGAACAGAGCTTAACCTTTGCCATATTTGCTTGAGATTTTTAAATAAACCATATATTAAAGATAAAGATGAGTTCCCTCACATTCTCCTTCCCAGCTCCATTTCCCTCACCCTGCAGTCAACCACCACCGTGAACTTGGTCTGATTCAGTCCTGGTTTACCATACAGACACATGTGCGCACACATATACCATATACATATATGTACCTACACATATACTATACATGTTTATAATATATACACATATGTATATGTATGTACATATACTTGTATCCATAAACTATACAAGGTATGATTTATTTATATGCTTTAAAATGTGCATAAGTACTACTGTTCACATTGTATTCTACAACTTGCTTTTTTAGCCCAAGATCTCACTTGAGCTGTTTGTGCTGACAGTCACATAGCTCCTTTTATCTGTTGTCTAATAGTCCACCCACGATGCCCCACAATTCATTCACCTACCCTACTACCAAGAGTTGTTTGAGTTTTGCTCATTGGTGATTTAAACCAAACCCAGGTTTTGTTCTAGTTGAATTATGTAAGCAGGTCCTGTTGCATGCCTTTGGTGGGGGGGGCCTGCCCCTGGGATGCTTACGGATAGGGTAAAGCCAGTCAAGTATTGCCATGACGCCCGAGTGGCCACTCTGTGATGTCAGTCCTACTCCCACTTCATCTCACGTCTTAACCCAGCACCAGTGCGTTCTTGGCGTCCGTTTCAGTCAGGCTTCTGCCGCTGGGAAATGTTCATATATGGTGGTGTGACTAAGTGGAGAGAGGTCAGGGGCCCTGAGAGGCTCTGCATCAGTCGTTTGGTTCCCATGGGGCGAGTGAGCACACAGAAGTCCTCCCCGCCATCCCTGGGGCTCAGCCCCAAAGGGAAATCCTCAGGAGGGAGACAACATCTCACCCACTTCAAAGAGAGTCAGGCCTCCCCCTGGATAGTGGTTATTTTTATCTGCCGTGTGGGCTTGGTCAGGACCCTGGAGAGTTTCCAGGGTCGGAGATGGGAACTGCCGCAAGTTCCCATAGCTCCTTGGCTTCATGCGCCGCCTCCTGGGATGTCTGGGTCTTGCTGAGGATGTCCTCATCCAACTGCCATCTTGCAGCCCCAGCCAACTTGATTGGTGAAAACCTGGTTGTTGCTAATGTCCATGAAGACTAGAGGAGCCTCCTGGGTTTCTGGGTAGGTTGGCATCGAGGCCCGGCTGCCTCCCGCCTCATTCTGGCGGGACTCTGGAGTCCCTTTCTCCAGCTTCCTGTGCTGTCTTCAGTCAGGCCTGTCCTGCTTGGAGGGGGCTGTGGGTTTCCTTGCTTATTTTCTCAGCCTAACTGGGAGCTCCTTGAGGCTAGGGACAATGCCCTCTTCATCTTTGTGTCCCAGTGTCCAGCACAAAATAGGTACCCAGTAAAGGTCCTTGGGTGACTGACAGATTCCCCTTGAGTGTGACCCCTGGCCCCAGCGAGAGAGGAACCAGGGTGGCATGACAGAAAATTCTGAACCCTCAGAGGCATCACACCTGGATTTGCATCTCAGCATCTCCACTTACCAATAGGGCACCCTTGGGATCAGCACTTTAAGCCTCAGCTTCTTTGTCTGTAAAATGGGAGCAAAAACAGACTGACCTGCCAGGTCGTGAAGATTAGAAATGATGTAAATGAGATGACTGGTCCCCGGAGATGCTCAGGAAGGGTTCTGAGAAGGAACACAAAGCACAGCGGAAATTCACCTAATAAATTAACTTTAGACTTTGGGCTTTTAAAATTAGTAAGTATATTCCAAGATGAAGACAACTTTTCCTAAGATGTGTGCCAGGGAAGAAAGTTTAGTAAGAGGCATTATTTGGGAAAAGGGCTCATAGCAAGAAAGGAAGTAAGGAAGAGTCATCATGATCTTTGATGGGTCACAAGGTGAGGGAGGTGACTGCAGCTGGCACTGAGGGAATCTCTGAGAGGGGTGAATCCCAACTGATGTGACCAGCAGGCTGTGCACCATGGCTCCTGGCCTGCCAAGTGTCAGGGTTAGGATTCTAGAAACACACCTTGGGAATTGCAGCTTGGAGATGGGCCAAGAAGGTCCAGGAGTCCCAGCCACTGTCTGTCCCCTTGGCCCTGCTGATGGCAGTTGACAGGTACTAATTACCCCCATGAACCACTAACTTAGCAGCAACAAGGTCACCCCCGGCTGTGCCTGTGATGGGCTCACTGTCAGGCAGAAGCTGGCTGAGGGGGACTATGTGCCGGGGTGTGTAGTGGGTTTGCCAGGCAGGGACGGGATGAGAGCGGGATACACAGGCACCCCTTGGAGCTGCTCCTTCTTTCCAAATCAGCCAAGCGTGAGGCTGGGTTCCTGACTGGGTTCTGGGAGACTGTGTCGTGGTCTGTGCCGATGATGTGGGTGGTGCCCCGGGGAAGGGCTGTGCTAAAGAGCCTTGTGCAGTAATGGGTCTGGGGTTGCCTGCAACCACTTTGGTGAACTGAATCTGATTTCATGGGGACTATGAAGTTGGCTACTCACGCTGGTTCATGGTGAAAACTTGGGTGATGTGAAATGACTTTATCCATCTCTTTTGGGGGCAGGAGATGGAGCTCAATTCAGGCCGTAGACCCACTGGAGTCCTGAGTGAGTAGAAATCTGATTCAAGATGAGAAAAGGTGGTGCCAAAAGAAGTTGAGTCCAGGAGAGACTGAGCCAGGATGTCCTAGGTGGAACTGGGCGGCTTGCCTTGCTGGAAACCCTTGGCTTGAATCCCAGCTCCACCACTTCCTGTCTGCGGGACATTGGTTGTGTAGCTTCTGTGAGCCTCAGACTCCACGTCTGGGGAGTGGGGAGAATGATGCCTGCCCTACTCTCTGCCGTAGCCGGTTTAATACTGACTGACTTTTCTCCCGCTGCCCTCTGCTTCCTTTCAGAGCGTTCGAGCACCCCGCTCTGCCTCGGGGGCCCAGGCTGCACTATCACCCCAGCTCTCACTGCTGACGTGAAGCCATGAGCTGTGTCCTGCACAGTGTGTACCCTGGGTGCTAGTGCTGCTGGTCTGCGGAGCCCAAGGCTTCTTCCTGCCCAACGTCACACACTTAGAGGAGCTGCTCAGGAAATACCAGCAGGACAAGCCCCACTCCCGCGTCCGGAGGGCCATTCCTAGGTCGGACAGAGAGGAGATCCTCATGCTTCACAACCAACTGCGGGGCCAGGTGTCCCCGCCAGCCTCCAACATGGAGTACATGGTGAGCACTGGGCGGGCCCCCCATCCCAAGGGCTGGGAGGCCAGGGGTCCATCCTGTGCTGTCCCCATCAGCTGGGATGTGGCCATCACTTTCTACTTCCAAAATCTTCACTTTCTTCCAGCCTTTCTTCTCCTGCACAGGAGTCTCGAGGGCCCTCTGTGCTTCTTGCTGGCATCCGAGATCTTCTTTCAGGAGCCCTTGTCTGTCTGCATTGCTTGTTTCCCTCCCTTTCCTTTGGCGAGAGAGGTATCTAGATGCTGTGTGTGTCACAGCCTCTGCACACTCCCCGAGAGGGCTGCCCGCCCATCACCTCCTCATCCAAATCCCCACAGCCCTCGTCTTGGGCCTCCTCTCCTTCCTCAGACCCTGCCGCCCCTTTCCGTGTGGCCTTGTGCTCTGACATCGGTCTCCCTGAAGGTCAGACCAGCTGCGGGCCTGCGAGCCCTGCATGGTCGTTGTCTCTGCCCGCATGAGGTGGCCCATCACCAGATGTGGGGCAGATGAGTGGACTGCCTGTATGGGCAGAGCCCTGAGTAAGACTTGGAACAAGTCCTCTGGGGACTTGTTATGAAACCGTTTCTTTTTTCTTTCAAGAAAATGGTCCCAGTATTTATTCCAACTGGGCTGTGCTTATTTTAGGGGGAACAGTGGGCCCCCTTTCAAACTGCTAATGCATGGGATAGCTGTGCAGACCTTTTTTAGGGTTAAAGATGGAGAGAAGCAGGGTAGATTTCTTTGGGGCTTTGGGTGCGGACTCCTCCCTGTACCTTCCCAGGACCTGCTTATTTGGCTTCTGTCCCCGTGGGGAGAGGACACTCTCCCCCTCTTCTAGATCCTTCCTGGACCCTACATCCTGTGCCCCTTCCCACCCTAAGGCCCTGTGTGATGCCCACTAAGGAGTATCTCCCTTGTCCTGAAGCTTGACTGAGCTCCAGGCCCCCAGGATGCTGGCTGTTTCCCGCCCTCTCTGGGAAGCAGGCTTGATTTATGCTGGTCTTTTCTTCATGCACTGTACTGGCCTTGTGGTTGTGTGGGAGATTCCTTGCAGGTGAAAGGAGCTTAGATGTACAGCAAGGCAGGGCAGCCCATGGACAGCCCGTGACAAAGCTGTCGTGTGGTTTCCTGTTTGTTTACTTCGTGATATTTCAGGACTGGAGTTGGGATCTGGGTCCCTCAGTCTAAATAGCCCACCTGTGGGGAAAACTGAGCCTTCAGGAGAGTCATGGGGCTGCCTCTGAGCAGAGGGCCTTGGGACAGGAAAGGCGGTTCCAGGCTTGGCCCCTGCCTCCCCAGCCTCCTCGGCCCAGTGCTGCCTGGCCAGTTTCCATCAGACAAGCAGCACTGATTTAAATAAGCGTCTTAGACGCATGGCTTTTGGCTCAGCCCTGCTTGCTAGGCCTTCCAGCCACAGTCCTTTGAAACAGGCTTAGCACTGAGAGGTGGACTTTAAAATTCCAAAGAGTTAAGACATCACCTCGGGATTCAATACCTACTCTCATTCAGCCTTCCTCCAAATCCTATTCCAGGTACCCTTAGCCTATTTAGAGAGAGGGAAACAGAGGCACAGAGGGGTGAAGCCACTTGCTCAAAGTCACACAGCCAGCAAGAGGCAGACCCTGGCATCATACCCAGGTTCACCTAATGCACACACTCTCCCCAGCACACCTCACTGCTCGGCTCTTGCCCTTCTCTTTTTGTTGTCCCTTTGAGGGGGAAAGGATGCCTACCTATGCCTTCCCTTCAGCGGGACAGGGACATGCTAGGGGTGAGGCTTCAGCTGGGAAGCACAGGCTGAGTGGGAGGTGAGGGGGCAGGTGAGGCTTGGGGGGAGGTGAGAGCTGGAGGGAGCCCGGGCACTTGGGGTCCATCACGCATGCGTGCGCGCATGCGTCACTCTGTGGGGAGAGTTAAAATGGCGACTGCTGCTGTGGAAAGAGCCCGGGTCAGGAGCGTATGTCAGCTGTAAGCAGCTCACCGTGCAGCCAAACCAGTGACTGTGAGCCCTGCGCCCTTTGCTTGGGAAACATTGTTTTGAAGTCCTACTAGGTGCCAGGCATGCTGCTGACATCGCAGTGGTGAGGAGGTGCTGCTGTTTGCCGCCCTTGAAGCCCCCAGGCTGAGTGGAGTCTGGAGCCCAGAGGCGGGGAGGGGGAGGGGGAGTCAGGACGGGGGTGCTCAGTCTCTAGTGGGAAGCGGAGGAGGGGGTGTGGGGAAAGCCAGCTCTGGGATTCTCATCTGGCTCTGTCCTCCCTCAGACCAGCCTGAATTTCAAAAGCCTTTGGCCCCAGAGATCCCACCTGCCATGTCTGTCTCTCCCTCACTCCACCTGCGCCTTCTTGCTCCCCTCCCTGCGCAGTTGGAGGAAGTCCTGTGGACTCACAAGGTTCACCCCAATGGTGAACTATGGCACAGAATACATAGTGAGCTTCTGAGAAGCCATGACCCTCAGGACGGAGTCGTGGCTTGAGGGTCTCTGCCTCCCTGGACTCTGGGACGGGCCTTAGCCGGCCACTTCTAGAGGAATGTTGGTGCATCTGCCCCCATCCCCACTGCCTGCCTTTCCCAGTGGACAGTGTCTGCTTCTTCGTGGAGCATCAGATGGGCCCCTGCCTGGAGGTAGATTCACTGACTGGGTGCAGGTGGCTTATTTGCCATAGTAGAGAGGGTGTGACCCTTGAGTCCAGAAGACAGGAAGGAGGTAGTCCAACATGTGGTGCTCTGTAGGGGTCTCGTAGGGTGAACAGGGCCTCGGATCTGCTGAGGAAAGGGAACAGCGGGAGGCCCACTGTCTGAATTCAGGAGGTGGCTTCTTTTATCCACTCATCTGTCTCCTCCTGAGTGTACCTCACGGTGGTCTGGACCCCCACCACCCCATTTCAGGCTGTGCTTGAGCACTGGAGAAAGATCTGAGACAGTGGAGGCACAGTGCTTGGTGGGCATTGAACATGGGGCACGGTCAGCAAGAAACCCAGAATGTCCACTGTGGCTGAATTGGTCAGTGGGTCAAGGGATGTGACACAGGTCTCTAGAAGCATCTGCTCCAGGGCAGGATGCTGGGTGTTGAGTCGCAGTCATCTTGGCCAGAAGGAGATGGCAGGACAGGAGGAGGAGATACTCCACTCTGGGTTCCCACAGTTTTTGGATGGTCCCAGGAATCTTTCCAGACAGCCTTTCAGTGAGCACCTACTGTGTGCCAGGGCTGGGGCTACCCAAAGCCAGATGACAGCCCTTGCCTGCCTGTGAGCTAGAGCACCTTCCCCAAGGCTCTGGGAGGAGGTGGAGCAGCCCCTGGCTCCCAGCTGCTTGGTGTCTGTTCCTCCACAGAAGAAAAGTGATCCTGTTTGCCTTGTTCACTGTGTTCTTTCCTGGGGAGTGGTGTGTGCTCCCTTGGCCAGCTGGGAGGCAGGGCCTGCAGCAGAGCCTGTCTTCAGATTCTTTGGCCCAGACTCCTGCCCATGCCCCCCACCCTGATTCAGGCTCGGCAGTGCTGGATGGGGAACAGGACTGGGTGAGTTGAAGGCATTTCTCACTACTTTTATATATTTAAAATGGTAAAATAGACATAATATAAAATTTACCCTTTGAACCATTTTTAAAAGCACAGTTCAGTGGCATTAAGTGCATTCACACTGTTGTGCAACCATCACCACTATCCATCTCCAGGATTTACTCATCTTCCGTCTGACAAGTTAGGGGCCAAGCAGAAGCTCTGCAGTCAGCCTTGCATCTGGGATCCTTTAAGTTCTTTGCTGATCTGCCATTTTCCACTTGCTGAGTTGGGAGGAACCCAGCAGAGGCATGCACGGAGTCCCTGAGTCCAGTGTCGTAGAAGCTGCAGTCGAGCCCTCAGGTCTGCCTGGGGCCTGACATGGGGGCGTCTCTGCAGTTTGGGTCCTTACACCCATCCTTGACCCTGACCTCCTGCTGCCCGTTTCTCCTCCCGCTGCAGACCTGGGATGAAGAGCTAGAGAAGTCAGCTGCAGCCTGGGCCCGTGAGTGCATCTGGGAGCACGGGCCCACCAGCCTGCTGGTGTCCATTGGGCAGAACCTGGCTGTGCACTGGGGCAGGTAAGAGCCACCATGTTCCCCTTACTTGTTTTTTTTGTAAGGGAGGTGCTGGGGATTGAACCCAGGACCTTGTGCATGCTAAGCATGTGCTCTACCACTGAGATATCTTCACTACCCACCCTTACTTGTGAACTGGGGTTTCACTCATGTTGCTGAACCTCCACAGCCTTGACATTGTCTGTTAAAATGTCATCCACTGACCTTCCCCAAGGTTATCTGGGCCACATACCCCAGCACCCAAGCTGGCTGTAAGTCCCCTTCGAGGCTGAGGGCTGGTTTCATTAGAGGAAGTGGAGAAAATGTCTTTTGACTGATGAAGACTCACTGACCCACTATCCACATGCTGTGCACACAGGTCATTCAGATTGAGGCCCGGGGGTCACCAGAGTCTGCTTCATTTTGCCTCTTTCACCGAAAATTTGGCCTGGACTAGAAGTAGCCCCTCGAAATGCAGATCAGGGTTTGCTTCTGAGACAGAACCAGGGCAGGTGCTGTGAGGGGTCTGGAGGTGTGGCTTCTTGGAAGCACAGCAACACGGTATTGTTGTCTGCTTTCTATCAAGTCAGTCTTATGACAGCATTAAAAGAAAATGTCTAAAGGGAGCACAACCCACTGACCTGCTTCCCTGGTTCAACTTTTCATGTTCCTGGGCTCCTGGGCGGCATCTGGCCATGGGCCGGCATATTTTCATGTAGTTGTAACTGTGGCCAGGACAGCTGTTAATTCTTTTTCTTTTTTCCTTCTCATACAATATCAAACAATTTTCTGTGACATAGTTGTCATGGTTACCACCTTGTCAAGACTGCCTGTGGGCCATCAAGTTGACAGATCGGAATTTAGCCATCCCGTTCTTGTAACTTGTTTGGTTTTTTCTTCCTCCTTGGTTGATTTGAATGATTTCATCAGGAAGACTCCGAAGAATAGGATTGATAGCTCAAAGGGCACAAAGACTGTCCCCTTCTGCGTGAATACTGCTGACTAACTTTCCAAAAAATCCTCTCATCCCGAGGCCCCCAACTGTTCTCTTCCTGAAACCACCTCAGCCTGGCTGTGAGGCTCTAGGAAATGCACAGATGGGGTGGTGGGTTCCCCATGGCTCTGTATCTCTGTCGGTGGGTACAGCTCTTTCCCCAAGCTGACCCAAGAAGGTAGGCTACTTCCCCGGCTCCAGCACCGACAGCCACCATCCTCTGGGTCCTTACAGTAGTTGTTACAAGACCTCCAACGGCCTCACTCACCAAAGTGCCCTTAGCAGTGCCCACTCCCCCCATGTCTGTGCCCTTTATTGAAACTGCTTTGTTTGCACTTGCTGGTAACAGCAACTGAGAGTTTGCACCTGGTTTATCAGTGGTAGAGCACGGGCTTCATGTACACAAGGTCCTGGGTTCAATCCCCAGTGTTTTGATTTTATTATAGAAAATTAATTTTTTAAAAATCTGATTTATTTTCTTTCCCGATAGGAAAATGACTGGTCCAACCTGGCAGACAGGGCTGAAGTGAAGGAGCAATGGCCACCAACCATGGCCGGGTGGGGTCTCCTCAGGGCTGGGGGAGGGGTGGGGCTCGAGTGATAAAAATCCTAAATAGGAAGTTGGTAAAAGGGTTTGCTCAACTGACTGCAGAGGTCTGTGTGCCTGCAGCTTCCTGTGCCTCGAATGAGTTTACTTCCTTGTGTCTGAGTCCTGGCAGCCGAGAGAAACGAGAGGCTCTAGGCTCCTCTTTGGTGGGGGTGACAGGGACCTGCCTGTCCTGTCCCCTATAACTAGCTGTCTTGCAACTTTCAGATGCTTCCCTGCCACGGTGATTGTGTCATCTGTGAAGCACCTGTTCAGTTACTTACTTACCAGTTTTCTCTACATTGACATGAACTCCCGCCTTCAGTTTTGTCTTAAGCAATAACGGCAGTGAAATATTGGGTTCATGGGCTGTGTATATTTTCTCAAATGTATGTGAAAATAAATCCATGATTATTAACATAAAAAAGAACTCACTGGGGGCCAGGTAAAAGTTTCCTGCACACCCAGGTGACATGGGGGTCACCCACGGTCACTCCTGAATGCAGAGGGATTCCATGGGTGCCCAGGTGAGCTGGTGAATTCGAGTTTTAAGCAC